GAAATTGCAGGTAACACTCCTCAAAAATAGGAAGCGCACCTGCACGAACGACGCAATAACGTCCAGCAAACGCGGATAGCTCCCAGGCGTTCTGATCGATAATACCAACCATGACCGTGACTTTGAGACGCGCGAATCGCACATTGCGACCTACCTAACGCGAGTTTACCTATTTAATAAATGCGATTGTATAGACCGATAAAAGGAAGGACACGCGGACGTTCTCGCGGCACTTACATCGAAGTATCTTCGTCGAGGTAACGGGATATCGGCCGTCGCGATAACAGAAGTAAAAGCCGAAGTTCACTAAAATTTATCGTCCGCGTTGTATCGTATTGCTTCTGTACCAACTTGCTCATTCATCACTTCATCATTCTTCAAAGAGTCGACCAACTAACCAGCTTATCTAACATTTTATTTTTTTTTTATACTTGAGATATCTCTTAAAAAATGGAAAACGGAGAAGCCGAGGAATTGAATATTGTTGCTTCGATTTCACAGCTCGCTTTTCTTCTTGTAAAACTTTTGAAGATACCTTCTCAGGTATTTCTTCTCGAAGAATTGCGAAATAAGACAATTAAAAATATAGTTTAATTGTTTAATGATTAACATATCAAGTGTTATAAATTAATTCAATGCTTTTTCTTAGAAAAATCCAAATCTATTTACAAAAAGGGAATATTATATTTTCAAATATCAAAATTATCTCCATTATTCTTAATAACTTTACGCTGTCTTTCGGACAATTGCTGAATTCTATCTCAATAAAAGCTGGGCAGTTTCAACAGAATTCTCTCTCTGTGCAACATTTAAAATTTGTCTAAAGTATACATCTGACGGATGATGCTGTAACGATCGAAACAGATGGTAATCTGAAAAGGCGAAGTCTGGCAAATAAGCCGCGTGACGGAGATCTTCCCGCACAGCCTAAAAATTAAAGATGATCTTTTCCATTCCTTTTGCTGTCTGCAATCGAGCGTTATCATGCTGAAAATAATTTTTTGGTTTCTTTATTTAATAATCTGTCTTTTATTCTCTAATCCACCGCAAGTTATTGTTGGTAGCCGCATTTCAACAACTTTAGCGACATTTTATCTCAATTTAGATATACCTCAATTGAGATAAAAAACGTGTAGCGTTACGAATATTTAATTATTTACTATTACATAAATCAGGAAGTAAAATCTCCTGATTACAAAAGAAAACAGATAAATATAAATGTAATAGGATAAAGCAGAGTCGTATAAGGTAAAGAGAATTAGAGCGAGAAAAAGTCAATTCAGTGAAATACATAACTTAGAATATTTATATTGTTAGCGACACAGTTGCATTTATTAACATTTCTTGCAGTTTTTACATTACTGTTAATCATCCCGTCATTTTATGGGGCGTTTTGTGAAAGATATTGATGACATGTCAAATCTCTGTACACAATTGCGTGGTAAAAAATATCTCAATAATATTTAATTGATTTGAAGTGATATTTAGAAACACAAAATTAGAAGCATCAAATTAATTTATACACCCAGTACATTGTTCCTGTGATCAATAACTCGCCGCCTTATTGGTACGGATTGTTTCGTTCTATTTGCGAAAACCTTAGCGTGCCGCGTCGCGGGAAAAAGACATTGCAGGTTGAAGGTTCCCATCGGTTTTATCGTCGCATCGACGAAAAAACGGAGTAATAACCGTGACGGAAAACGATCGTTATAGAAAGAGTAGAGCTCTTTCTACGTCTTTGGCAGTTTAGTATAGCCTGGTATAGTTTACCCTACTTTTCCTTATAGTGTCTAATTCGCGCGATGACTTCGCGATGACTTCGCGTCACAAGCGGTACGTATTGACACGTTTCTCCTTGCACAATTACAATGGCATATTGCGACGTTTTATCGGCTGTGACTGCACGTAACTTTGCGCCAACTCATTGCATGGGAGAAGAACTTTACTTCTGCCTGTAATTCGCGAGAGCGCGGAGACGTCTTTTCTCCTCTCTCTTTCTCTCTCTTTCTCTCTCTCTCTCTCTCTCTCTCTCTCTCTCTCTCTCTCGTCTCGTTACTCCCAAGCCGCTAAGAAAAGCAGATTGGATAGAAAGTACGATAGAGCGTAAAGTAGAAAAGAAACTTAAAAAGCGGGAGACTCATTAGGTGAATTAAGTTTGGTATTTTGTGCTGTTCTCGCGGGAGCAGGGAAAACGTGGCATTAAGAAACGTATCGGGAGGCTGGAAAATGCTACTCTTCGAGTTATCCGCCAAGTCGCGGAGCACTTCGGAGCATAATGTCTAGTCGAATGTGGTACACGTAATAGCGAGGCATAAATTTCCATATGTAGCAGAGCATTATCATCATCATCATCATCCGCTTCGGAAACTTTTATTATCTTCTTTCGACTCATCCAGAATTTGTCTCTCCTCGTGTTGAAAAGTTGCACGGAAGATGCAATTTTTAGCAAAGATAGCATCTCTCGTATTCAAATGCACTTTCTCAGATGAAGATCTAATACATATCTTTTGCAAGCAAAAGCGAGCCACGTTTTCCGCGAGCAGTCTTTGTTCCGAGCGATCGATATCGCGTTGCCGTATTCTATCGATCCGTTGTCATGCAACTTCATATATTTCTCTCATTAAAATGTAACACAGTCACACAGACGCTTGATGCGATCTCTTGCACACGCGATATTGGATTAATAATACATATTGCCAAATATCAAATTAATAATCAATAATTAATAATTAATATTATTAATTATAATATGATATAAAGGATATAATATATAGGGTGTAAAGTTTATTCACAGACATGACTCTGTTTTATATAAACAAACTTTATTTTACAGAAATAAACTTGATATTTCACAAGTAAATTTTCAAATATTTTGTTCTCTCAACGTATGTTTTTACCACGAATTTCATTTTGCAACTTTCCTCTTTGGCTTTTGTAAAACTTTCAAAACAATTCCGGTTTCGGTCGAAATTGAAAAAAAATATTAAATATTTGTATTCGGTTTCAAAACAGGTTTCAGTTTTGTTTGTTTCCGAAACTGAAAAAGCCGGTTTTGGTCAGACACTAATAGATATATATAGTCAATCGAATTAATAATATAAATTCCTAAATGTCTGTTCTTTGGAATTTATAATCGCATGAACTTACATATGACTGTAATTGATATTTGAATAAAAACTGAACAATAGTCGATACCGTGGCAATTTTTTGCGACTTACGAACGATGAAGGTCGCCAGAAGCGGGAAGAGAAATTCGGTCAAACAGTTTTTGGTACGTAAAATTACACGATCCATCAATGAGTTAGAAATTGTTGTAAATTTATAACTATCATAAATATTTATTATTTTGCAACATGTTTGCGCGGCTAACGACCGCGGTTTTACAATACTGTATGCTGATGGATGCTGATGGATGTAAATTTTAACGGAGGACGCGCTGATTTATGTAATTGTAAGAAACAAAGCGTTTTCGTCGAACATCGAGACTAGTGCGAAGACTTTTTCGTGCCGTGATAATAAAGCGTTCTTTTCGCATGTTTGTTTCGCTCAACACGCCAAGCCATGCTCCACTGATCCACTGCGACTTCTTGTAATACTCTATAAACAAGTTTAACGATGCGACGCATTGTTCGATTTCGCTTTTCACCGTTTTGCATCGCTTGAGTTCCGAGAAATGCAATGTACGGTATATTACGCAGTATGGAAATTTTTCCATCTGGCAAATAATCACACGAATCAAAATTTTCCCCCAATTAGTTTATCGTAACTTGAAAAAGTGAGATTTTGAATTTTTACGTCGTTCATGTTGCGTTTCATAAATTTTATTTACTTCCAATGCTTAAGTTAAATTCTTTAAAGTTACACATAAGAGGATAACTTCATGCAAAAATAATTGTCGTGTGTTTTATTCTGGGATAAAGTGAGATATTTCTTATTGTGTAACTTATGAGATTAAAATTTTATTGTTACGTTTAATGTGTTAAGATTCCTGAGTATTCGCCGCGGCTGTCTTGATTTAGGATGTTAAAAAGACACAAGAAGACACATATTTAAGGTCCTTGCAAAATATATGGAAATAAAAAGAAAGGTATCCAGAAAATGATTGTTGCTTGAGCAAATTAGCTTGAATTGCTTAAACAATAGTCTGAACACATTTCGCATACATCTTTCTATTTATCTACTATCAAACTGTCAAAATTGAGAAACATTATTTGCGCACTATTAACTGGCTTCAGTTGCGCACTAATAATATAATTAATAATATAATTAAGAATATTAAATAATAATAAATAATAACAATACTAATAATATAACTACTAGGCAAACTCGTCGATAGTGGCATGCTCTTAGATTCAGCTCAAATTAAGAATATACTCTAACGAATTCCAATTTTGACTATTTAGTAAGTTCCCAACTTCATTTGCGTCTAAACCGTTTCACAACCTACTACATATCATCTGAATTTATCTAGATACTTGTCAATCCCATGCAACGTAATTCACATATCGATTAGCAATATTAATAACCGCGTTAATTAATAATATTAACTCGGCATCAGTTTTCTAACAGGTGTTTGCTTTCATTTGGTCTCGTTGAATGCCACTCTAACGCTGTATAATCACAAAACAACCAAGTAGAAACGTGCTCGCAAGTGAAATCTGTGTTTTAGTTGTATTTGCAGAATACCAGGATGGAAATACACGCAAAATGACAGAACTCTCGTACACTTCCTCAAACGATCAATGCCCTCTTAAACGAAACGTGTCATGGACACTTTTCAAAAACGGTTTACTGTTAAAACACACGAATGCTCGTTCTAATTGTGTTTGTTCCGTCGCGATATTTCCGTGTAATTCGTCGACCTTAGGCGTTCGGCTATTGAAAAGCTAACGCCAGCGGAATAATATATAAATCGGAAACGCGTTAAAAAGCAAATGTAGTCTCTTAATAAATGATGGACAGTTTCGGTACAGACTAAAATGGTCCTTGACCCGTTTCAGGTACAAGCCGACGAGGTTGTGGGGTTTCAGTGGGCACGTACAGACCATCATCCACAGCGTCATAGGGCGCGTTCGGTGCCCTTGGCCCATTGGCGAACGCGTGTGCATCAGTCTTACGGATGAGACCACGCTCACGTACGATCTTTATCAACCGCTGACCCACGGCCATGAAGGTACTGTACATTGAGAAAAAAAGCGATTGGATTGACAAAATCGGCGGTCACCAGCCATCAAAGAAATAGTGGATCAATTCAACAAAATATAATGTTAATGCAACAATAAGTTACGTTGATATAGTGATTTCAACTTATTGTTGCATTAACATTGTATTTTGTTGAATTGATTCAATATTTCTTTGATTGTTGGTGACCGCCGATTTTGTCAATTCAACCGCTTTTTTCTCAGTGTATTATCATTCGTGAATTACAATTAATTTACTACTAAGCGGTTGGATTGATAAAATCGGCGGTCACCGGCTATCAAAAAAATATTGGATCAATTCAACAAAATATAATGTTAATGCAACAATAAGTTGCGTTGATATAGTGATTTCAACTTATGTAACTTATTGTTGCATTAACATTGTATTTTGTTAAATTGATCCAATATTTCTTTGATGACTGTCGATTTTATCAATTCAACCGCTTTTTTCTCAGTGTATCACTCGTGAATTACAATTACGCGATCCTCAAGAAAAAATGACTAAGCGCGAGTTCTTTGTAGCGATACACTTACTACTTGTAGAATAGAATGAAACTTTCTCTAAAAATTAGTCTCGGCTGTGTGTTCAATTGGAAATGTAGAGATCGGCCAATTAAAGCCCAGAAATCTGTCCTTACTGCGTCGATGAATCGAACTTTGAGATTGTCTGTATTATTGACATGTACATATGCTACCATCGTCATACACATGCGATGCACTGATCTCTCACTTCATACACAAGCTCGCCTTTACTTAAAATTTCTAATTCTACTTTAGGCTTCTGGGCATTCGCCGCGGCCATGTTCAATTATGACGTCAAAAATGACACGCTGAAAATTCTTGCGTGCCACTTTCAAATAAGATATTTGAATGATAGAACACTCGAGATCACTTGGGATTGCTTGAGATCGCTTGACATACTTGTAAAATACTCCAAAAACTTTTCCCTTGACAGTCAATAAATGGCCGCAAAATTAACGTGACAAAATCATGAGAAGAGGTAGGTTAAAGAAGAAAGTTGTGTGTCACGTTAATTTTACGGTAATTTATTGATTGTTAGAGCAAGAGGAAAGTGTTTGGACTATTTTACAGACGTGTCCGATCGATTGCAAGTGTCATTTTATAGGCATATCTTTTTATTTTAACGTATTTTGCAAGAATCTTAAGCATGCATTTTCTTGCTTCTGACGTCATCGGTCAAGAGTTCCGCGGCGAGAGACGAAAAGTCTTAACATATTCATTAAGAAACTTTTTAAGAAAGAAAGATTAAGAAAGAAAAAGTATTTCAAAAGTAAAGGATATTTATTCAATGGATACTAATAACATTTATTTAAATTTAAGTTCTTCTATTTAATAAAAGATTGCTTTCTTGAAAAACTAAAGTTTTAAAATATTTTCTTATTTTAGAAATATTTAGAGATGTTGCTTCTTGAAGTATTTCTGAAATATATTAGTACATAAGTATAAATATATTTTTAGAACACTGATTAAATATTTCTTTATTTCTCGAATTTTTTTCTCAAAATACTATATATGTGTGGGACAGCGATCATTTTTCTTTCTTAAAAAAACCAAGTTTATTTTACACAATTACATAAAAACAAATGCAATGTGATCTATGAGAAGAGTTCCCTAAATAAATTCGTAGTAGCGAACGTGTTAAAATCTATTTTTAAATTAACAACACGCCACGTTTTATTTATTAGTTATTTAGATTCTTATCAGCAGCAAAGCAAAACTGTGAAAATATGTATTATCAAGTTTAATGTCGTATATATAGAGAGATTATGCGCGGTTATATATAATTAAACGTTTATCATATGTACAAACAGACGCAATCCAAACCAGTCTCCAAAAGAATGAAAAGAAAAATAGCGAAAGAGCTTTATCATACTAGTGAACAATCAATTTTGTATATTATATTTACGTATTTCTTTCATAACGTCTTGAATGCACTCAGCGGTGAAGAATGACACGTCGAAGCCGAAAGAAGCGGCTTCGAGCTTTTGTGTGAAAATCGATGACTGCAAGTACACCGCACCACTGTTTTCCAGACGACATAACGATAGCCATCTGTCCCGGAATCGGGAACAGCTCGGAGAGTGTTTACATCAGGACGTTCGTGCATTTCGTGCAATGCCATGGTTATCGATGTGCGGTACTTAATCACGTCGGGGCCTTATCCAGTGTCAAGATCACAGCGCCAAGGATATTCTCTTACGGTACGTAACGATCGCGCGCGATGAGACGTGGTGTCGCCACGCCACCAAGAAAATCGATCGAGAAAAGTTGGCGGATAATAACCAGGTGTCTATACGCGAATAAAATAAGGAAAAAGATAAGGAAAGAAAAATAAAATGTTAAATAGTGTCGTAAACTTTCTGGGTTAAACTGTCGTGTAATATTTATTTGCATTCGTAAACGTGGACGACGCAAAATTCGTAAAGGTGGATGACGCAATTGATAAGATATTTTGCGAACAACGATAAAAACAATATATATCAATACGTACTTATCATCAAATTACCATTTTAGCATAATTTTATCTAATATTTGGAATTGACTTTACCTGTAATACTTGTTCGTGCTTATCGTAATTGGAGAACTCATTAGCCTTATTGTTTACTACTCAGGTCGTTTCGCGACCTTCTTCGTTTCTTTGTTTCGTTACAAATGTAAAACTTTTCTTAGACTTCCATTTTGAGGGAACAATTTGCATTCGAGTACACATGTATCTTGAATATTAAATAATATTGAATAAATGCTGTGCAAACAGGTCACACGGAAGATTATAATATGATGCTGCTGAGTTTGGTAGAGAAGCATCCCAACACCAAAATAGTTTGTATAGGATATAGTTTGGGCGGTAATATAGTGACAAAATATTTGGGAGAACGGCGTCCTAACAAATTGCCCAACATTATAGGAGGTATATCAATTTGCCAAGGATACAATGCTCTCGAGTAAGTATGAACGAATTCATTTTATACATTTTCTAATAATGAAAATGAATCAAGATAGGATAAAAGAGAAATACTTATATATATTAATACGCTGTACATATTTCAGAGGGACAAAGATTTTGTTAAATTGGCAGAACTTTAGACGTTTCTATCTCTATGTAATGACAGAGTCTATGAAAAATCTTATACTTAAACACAAAAACGTGCTTTTGTCAGAAGAAGTAAAACAGAGGTGTAACTTAAACGAGCGTGACATAATTTCAGCTGCGACGTTACCCGAACTGGATGAAGCGTATACGAGAAAGGTAGGTTGAATCATTTTGTCTTAAAAAAAAAAACGCATTAATCGTCGATGAATGTTATTTTCATAAGTGTTCTCTTGTGTTTCAGGTACATAATTTCAGATCCGTACAAGAATTGTACAAATGGAGCAGTTGTATCTTTTACCTGGATAATATCACAACGCCGATGGTATTCATCAATGCGTTAGACGATCCCATCGTGCCAGAAGTATTACTAAATCCAATTAAAGAACACGCGGGTGAGTATGTTGCTCACGTAATATATGTGCGAGTAAGACGATACGTAAGACTATATTAATATCGTGTTATTTTTATCTCCAGCAAATCGCCTAAATACGTTGTATGTGGAATTAGCGCATGGAGGTCATCTAGGTTTTTACGAAGGAGGTCTTCTATATCCAAATCCTATAACATGGCTGGATCGAACACTGGTGTCTCTTGTGGGATCTCTGACCCTAGCACACGCAGATAAGGCTTTGAAAACCTCTTAACCTAATTTGACTCGGTTAACGTACTCGTATTATTGGGCGTTGATCGCCATTGTATCACACATCATGATCTTCTAAGATCAGTCAGCACTGCACTTGACCCCGTTGGTTGTCCTTTTGGGCGACCAGAGTTATCTACAACGAGATGCATCCATGATGCAGAAGAAACGGCACATTGTAGTCTATATAAAAGAAAAAAAAAAAAACTGGTACAGACTTGTCACTTCACGATACGTGTATAGAGAGAGGGAATGAAAACAGAGAGAAAGAAAGAGAAAGATTGCATTTACTTTCGCAAACGATACAGTGGAAACAAGTGATAAACACGACTGTACAATAAAAGATGTTTGCTCACTGACGATAGGCAACTTCGCTAAATTAAAGGTAATTTTGGGACGCCAGCCAAATTGTTGCTCGCAACTCTTTATACATGAAATTACAGTTAGTAGAGTTTTCATTGCCGTACAACCTAGCGCAACAAAATTAGACAGCCTAATTTCCCGAAGAAAATGGAGAGAGACGAAGTGGATTTTTAATATTTTACCAAATATTGACGCTTCTTCCTCAGGGATCTTCTATAGAACGGTGGTTTGATAACAGGACCTTCAACGGTCGTTAACAGGTTGCTAGTGGTGCTCACTGTACAAGTGATTAATATTATGATATATACACAATAAGTGTGAGTTCAATGCAATACAGAAAATCTTGTGTATTCCCCACTAAGAACCTGTATTTATGTACAGAATGTGTATTCATATAAGCTATGTATCGATTTACTGTATTTATAAACGCGTCTCAATTACATTTTAGGATTATTAGCTTTATCGATATGGAAAATTCGCCACTGTACAAAAATCGTGTATACATCATTTAATCGGAGATTGGCAAAGTGGAAAATACCCGGTCGATTATGATGTTGGATTTGCGAAAAAATCTATTAAAATCAAATTTATCATTTCACAAATTTATAATTTGATAAGTGTATTCAAATGTACGTTATAAATTTTGTAAATAATACTTTTCTAGCTGGATTTGTAACGAATTATGCAAAACACTAAGTTCTGCAAATCCAACTTTATTATCGATTATTACGTTATATTTACGTATTGCGAGTGGAAAAGAGATTTCTCATACAATAGTCAAATATCACGTATTCGTACACGTTATCATGTAATAATCGATATGTATATAATGCAGAGATCAATCTGCATAATGTTGTATGCATCGCGCATCGAATCATTAGTAATACTAGAATCTCGCGAGTCAATTCGATTTAATTTATTCTTATTTCATATTGTTGTACGATATGTATAAACACAACGCATACATGATGCAATTAATGTGCGATATTTAATCCATTAATATTCCATATCATGATGTTCAAAATATTTCGCGTTCGTCCATGATGTATACCTATATAAATGGTAATCCCTGTGGGATATGATCGGTTAATCATGACATTCGAATGTTAAGATCAAGAGAATCTTGATCCATCTGGATGAGTTCATATTGATAAAGCTAATGCACGCGATGCGACGTGCAATAATTTCTCACGTTAGACAATATATTTTAAACAATAGATTAAATTCGCGCCGATCGCGTGACTTAACTGATATTTATTTGCTACTACTACGTTTTGATGGTAATGGTTTAAAAATGGCACTACCGGTGGTGACTGGCGCAATCTGAGACTGCACAGTCACGAGCGGAGATGGATATTTCTACTTAAACTATTTATACTGCGCGAAAGTGATTCAAGTAATCGAGTCGTAATTCGGCGGATTCAAAGTGAGTAGATTATTTTCGTGATGATTTACGCCAGCGAGTTATATGGTCCAATATCGGGGTAATGTAAGCATTTATATTCAGGACATTTAATCAAACATTCGAGCGGATTCGCTTTCTAACCACGTGAAAGCAATCATCGTACAGTAGGGTCGAAATTGTAAGGTATCGATCAACATGCAACACTTGCGATTTTTATTTGTATAATGCACGATCATAGGAGAGTAATGAGACAATAAGAGACACAAGGTACACGCAAACGGAATAATAACGCTATTTGTTCCATAAGCAAGACTTCTTCGCTTTTTTGAACATAAAATATTGATTTATTTTTTATGTTTTTGTTTCATTTTAGTTTTTTTTTTAATAACTAATTTTTTACTAAATTCTCGTGATACAATTGAATTAGCACAAATATATATCAATCATATTGACAATACATCCATTATCCAAGATATAAAATTAACGGAACTTTATACATGTATTATTTATCACATTACATATACAAACGTTGAATACAAAATTTCGGACGCCTAAAAAATCAAGAAGAGTTGTTAAGGCTTATTTAACAATATCATTAGAGAGTCTGACAAGGAATTCCACAGAATAAATAGAAAGTTGTACTTATCAGTGTATGAGAGGTAAAACGAGCTAAGAGTCACTCTAAAATAATCGACGTTCGATCCTGTTTTATAATTTCGTCGTTACATCTTTACAGCTGGACTGATAGATGTAATTTAAGAAAAATGTATCGCCGTCTTGAAGTTGAACGATTCCTACCTTTGACCAATTTCCCCACTTGACGTGATACGAATTGCATTTGAGAACGGATAACGACCAAGAGTAGCGTGTGCATTCCTCTATAATTAATATAATAATCAATGACAAAAAAACTTTTATACACCGGCATATATATTCTGGTTGCAATTGTATGTGAATATGTATGAGAGACTTCCTCTTATATCTGTGTGTGAAATCTGGGAAAGGTGAAAGCATCTAATTTGCTGAAAGACTTGGATTGGAGTGCATGCGAAAGTTTTCATTGAATTTACGCAAGCGAACCTTTGTCATCCTATTATCAATTGAGTTGTCGAGCATATGATTCTTATCGCATATCATACAAATACCAAAGTGACGCGTGATTTCGAACATGTTAAGAGGATGTTGAACACCGACATAAAGCAGCTTCGTGCATTTTACACTATTTTTCTATTTGATTATGTAAAATTGCAATATATATATATATATATATATATATATATATATATATATATATATATATATATATATATATATATATATATATATATATATAT